CCTCGTCTAGTTGAATATGTCCCTGCTCATGGGGGTTGAGGGGTGGACTAAGAAGACCACTGAGGGTCCCTTCCAATACGAACTATTCCATGATCTGTTCAATGCAAGTTCCCCCATCGCATTACCTGGCATAGTGACCATTGGAGTCCCAGCCCAGAGTACATCCATCCCAGTTGTGTGCCCATTGCAAAGCGGAGTGTCTAGACAAACATCAGCCAACTGTCCTCTCCTCACATGTTCTTCTTTGGGGGCAACAGGAGAAAAGATTATTCTGTTTTGGGAAAGACCCAAGTTTTGTGCATATTGCTGAATATTGGGTTCTCCTACAGCTGGGAAGCGCAGCAGCCACAGCACACTGTTTGGAACTCTTTTTAGGATCTATAACAAAAATGAAAAAGCAAATACAGAAAGTTCAGTCAGAAACAATCTGTTTTTTTGAACAAGGAATTACCACATACCAATATGAAGCAAAAAAAGTGTAACACTTTAGTCTTCCGAGGTATAAAGCGGGGGGGGGGGACGGGGGGGACGAACGGAACAAAAACCACAAACCCCAAACAAATCACCATTTCAAGCGGAATAACTAGGATTACATTTCTACCACTGAGAGAAACTGCAACTCCGAGCAATACTTCACAGAGCACAACTTAGAAAGCAAGTCTTGAAATTTATGAACTCCTTTATTTATAGGCCTATACTATGGAGTATTAAAAAAAAAAATTACCCTTCAAGTTAACTTTCAGCAGTACACTATAAGCTGGACCATGACAGATGCTCACTGCTTAAATCTATAAATCTACCAAGTGCCAAGGCCAGTGAATGACTGGGGCTGTTCAGTCTGGAGAATAAAAGGCTGTATGGAGACCTCACAGCACTCTTCCAGTATCTGAAGGGACCTTACAAGGATGCTGGAGAGGGACTCTGCATCAGGGACTGTAGTGACAGGAGAAGGGGTGATGTGTTTAAACTTATACAGGGGAGACTTAGGCTAGATATAAGGAGGAAGCTCTTCCCTGCGAGGGTGCTGAGGCGCTGGCACAGGGTGCCCAGAGAAGCTGTGGCTGCCCCATCCCTGGCAGTGTTCAAGGCCAGGCTGGACACAGGGGCTTGGAGCAACCTGCTCTGGTGGAAGGTGTCCCCGCTCACAGCAGGGGATTGGAACTGGATGATCTTAAGGTCCTTTCCATCCCAAACCATTCTATGATTCCATGACTTAATTGTGCAGACTAAGGAAGACCAAACTTGTTTCACAATGTAATACCAGTATACTTGAGCTTAACATGATTTTTAACTGGGTAGAAGCACAGATGTGATTTGAAATTAACCTAAAAAATTCTGTTTTCTGTTAACACCAAGTACTGCAATATGAGCATCGTAAGGATTCAAATGGCTCAGGCTCAACGTATTCAACAGAACATTTTCAGTCTTAATTTGCATGAAGCTTCTGCTAACTTGAACAGAATAGCTATGTTCCAGAAGTCTGATCTTAAATTTCATATTAGATACAGATACTCACATTAGCCCACATCTGTAAAGTGGAAGGATCGATCTTATACAACTGATTAAAGTTACAGTATACAACAGCATCCTCCGGTAAGCCGTACTGAGAACGGGTAGTAACAATTATAGTGCGTGGAACTTCTTCACCAGTTGCTGCTTTGTTGTTAATCTAAAGCGGGGGCGGGGGAGGGGAGGGAAAAAAAAAGCAAAGCTATTGCAACACTGAAAGTGCAGGAACGAGACTGGGCAGAGAAACACCTCATCATCCATTAACATGATCCATTGGCTGGAACTGTACCTTTGGGTTTTATTATACCAAATAAAGTTGTCTACTTTCCCATAACAAGAACTTAACTGCCATGCATACATGCTTGTGGATACCACAAAATCTGCAACCACCAAGGCACACAACACTGAGCAGCTTCATGCCCTTGCTGTAGCTCCCTGAAACTCTAATTAACTAGCTGGAAAGATGAATCATATGAAAAGGCATTACACACAGACCCCTCCTCTCCTTAAGGTCACTTCACTTCTTTGAACCAAAAATGAAATTAAGCCTTCAAGAAAGAATAAAAAAACCTACCTAGAAAGCAAAGGAGGGGTTTCTTGTTTGGGTGGATATTTTCTAGTTTGTTTTTTGGCTTTTTTTGAAGATAAGCACACAACAGATAGTCAAGACTGAAGAGACAGACCAACATCTAAATGATAGACTGTAAGGAACTAGCCAAAAAGCAAGTAACAGGACATGCTGAAAACTGGACTTTTCAGAAAGAACTGATCTTACAGCTTTCGAAAAGAATAGGTATAGGCTAATAAAAAAACAGGAGAGGATCAAGTTGGGATAATCAGAATACCACACAAGAGTCTTGAGGATTAGTAAAACGGAAGTATGATTTTCAATTATTTATTTTTTTAATAATGACAGCCAATAGTGGGATCAAAGATAAACTCAAGAGTACAGACAGGACATCACAGATAGAGTCTTGTTTGGTCTTTCCCCTCCCCCCCCGCCATGCGCATTTAACATTTAGCTCAGTGGCAAGGCAGCCAGCCAGTACAAGCATACTGTGTACTAATTTGACATCAATGACAATGTCTCTATCACTGACTCCATTAGAAGATGCAAAGATAATTTAGTTCAGCAAGTTAGTAACAGTGCTCCTTTACATGTCACTGAGGAGATCTCAAAAACACAATGCAGAGTTTTCACTGACCTATGCCCAAAAGTAGCTGATATCAAATTAAAACATGCACAAAGAAATGTTATATTATTGTTATCGAAATACAGAAATCCTGGTTTAAAAGTGTGCCAACAGAGCTTATATTGCTTCATCTTAGTGGTGGAGTGCCAAGACAAGAATTATCTATTATGCTCAGAGGAGAATAATTTCAGGAAAAAATGCTAATAAACTTATCAACCAAACTAAAATATAAACTATTACCAAATTAAAGGCAAGTTGAACTGTGCTCAGCTGTGAACAAAAGAACTCATAAAAAAACCCAAAGCATGACAGAACATATGGATAGAATAGTGATAATAAAAGGCCTTGTGTAAATTAATCTGAAAAAGTCTCCTGAACACTGTAAACTAAAAATTCCTAAGTCTACAGAGTTATGCCAATGTCAAAATACAGTGTTTTTTAAAAGTAATAACTGTTCTGAAAAGAAAGAAGTATTAAACAAAACCAGAAACTGTCACTACCACTAAAATCCCATGAACTGTTAAGCACTATGTGCTGGTGGTATAGTACACAGTTCAGAAGGATGTAAGGAGATAAACAAACATTGTTGAGACACAGTGGAATAACTTTGCCTGTATTACCCATCATATTTTTTTTTTCTATAGGAAAAACACAACTGAAACTGAGTAACAGCTCAGAAATGCCCTGTAGGCTGCAGGCAATGAGTACATCTTGTCTTCAATTCTGAACAGCCAAGTGTCTTCTTTATGCAACAAGATTAAATTCCTTTGGACTTTAGACACCTTTTGATATAACTTTTCTATCTTTGCGCAGGAAAGTTCATGTTCCAGTACATCTGTGGCTTATAACATATTTGTGAGTTTCCTTAAGTATGATAACTAAACAAATCAAGGTGGAAACAGAGAGACATTTGTGTGGAGGACTTTCTTCCTTGCTATGTTAACACACACAAATATAAACCCCAAGAAAATGAAATGCCTTACCTGAGTAGTTGCTAGTCCATTACTGATGTTGAATCCATTGATAGTTATCTGAATTTGCCCACGATTAATCATCTCAATCACAGCTTCTGCAATTGTGTTCATAGGAATGACTGGCATACTGAGAGCAGCATTGCTGTCTGCATTGTCACAGCTGTCAGGACACTTCATCTAAGACAAATGACATAAGCATCACAGAAAGTACCAGCTTCAGTCCCCAAGACTGAATACACAAAGAAGTAGCTCTCACCTTAACAATCTTGACATCAGGGAGGCTGTCAAGGAAAGCCTTCAAGTCAATGCCATTCAAAACAATTCTGTTATCATAAATATGACCATTGGACTTGAAATCAATGACTGCTTTTTTCTATTAAAAAAAAAAAAAAGAAAAGTTTTACAAAAGTTAAATGAGCCCTTACCAAGTAATATACTAAATGTCATTTTATAAACACAACTATGGAAAACACCTATTTTTCTTGCCCAGTCTTCCAACATACCTTCAGATGGGGGAACATGTTGGCATGGTCTCCAATAAAGAAAGTGTTTGGCATGTACGCCAATTTCTCCGAGTACTGCTCAGCCACCTCAACTGGGGAGGTTTCTTTATCTGTGATGATATAATCCATGAATAATGCCCCACTGGTTCCAGGATAGCCTAGCCACATTGCCTAAAAAACAGGAAAGCAAGGCTCCAGTCCCAGGTGCATTGCAAAAATAAAGGAACTTAAAAATCAATGCATTTTATGTTAAATTTTCAACCTACAGATTCAAGTTCCTTTTTGTGCTTTATCAACTGAAGAGTAATTACTAATCCCAAACTTTCATGACCAAGACAGTGAACAGTTCAAGGATGTTGTGTAACGGATCTGGCTCAAGCAAAAAGCCAAATTATCCAACAACATGCAGCTATAGCCAGAGTACTGACTAATCAGTGATTATAGCTTCTCTTAGCTGAGACAACTTCCACAGCCTAGAGTGACTCTGATTCAGGCTTCTCCTATTCTCCTTCCATAGGCATTTTAGAAAATCCTTTCACATTGGTTCTGACTAACTTGAACTTCCTTAAGGCTAAAGAAATTTTAAAAGGCAACAACTCATTTCCACAACTGCTTCAAATACCTTTTCTTTGTTCTTACTAATGCAAGAAAGCCAGTGGTGTACAGAATTACAAAGTTCTCTTTCAGGACACAGTCAACTGCCCATAAAACACATAAAACCCCCAAACTCCTTTGCTTCAACAGAACGATCCTATTTGCCTCACATGTCAAGCCCTAAAAAGTCTCTCTCACTTACAGATCAACATGAGCCTTCAACATTTTTTCCACTCTGCCAGAAGAAAAAGAGAAACTCTTCCTACTTGAAAGGGTTTTTTTGGAGATACAGAGCCCTCTAACTTATTTACCTGAATAGGTGCTGGTCTCAGTGCAAATAGTTCATTTCGGGCTCCTTTGGTGTAACCATTCATATTAATGAGAATGTGTATCCCATCCTGATGGATGCGGTCTGCTGCTTTTCCATTACATGGTATCTGAAGAATAAAAAAATATATGTTATTTTTGTTTTCAGGCTTTTAGTAATAAATGTGATATGTCATCAGCATACCAATAGATAAATGCCACCTGTCTAGTGTAGTTTAGGTGAGACTTAAATCTCATACCTCTGTAAAACCAGTTACAAGTCCTCAACTCAATCAAAAAACCTCCTTGTTGAAGCCAAAATGTGAAGCAGTTGCTGACAAAATGTTAACTGTGGTACTTGAAGGTTGCCTCTGCAATACTTAAAGTGTTGCCAAGGTCAGCAAGTCATGCAGAAAAATATCACAAATGGACCACAGAAGAAGCTTCAAGCAACACGAACTGCTTCAGTTCTTGGCTAAATCAAAAGCAAAGAGCAGGAACTTCACACAAGGTATTACCAATGACTTGCAAGAACAGCAGTAAAGCCTTGGAAATTACAATATACCTCTTCCTGTCTAATACTGAAAGGTAACCAATTTCCAACAGTTTTAAATTCCCCCAACTAGTAATTATATAATGAGTCATTATCTACAACCAGATTTAAAAAAAAAAAAAAAAAAAAAATATTTGAGACATCTAGTTCAGCATCAGTAAAACAAAACTCTCAGGCTAGAAACTGAGGCTATATAAACTAGAACAGCCCCACCACCACCACTCCCGTAAGGCTTCATTAATGATCAAAGCTTGTGTAGTAGTACAAAGCTCAACTGGTAGATTCCCAAACTAAGGTCATGCACAGAAATCGGTTCAAACTGAAGAGCAAGAGTAAGCCAACTGACTACTCTGCAGCTACTGCTAATGCTGACTCACTCTAAAATTAATATGCACCAAAAAAGTACTTTGCTTTTGTAAAAACGGAAAGCTACTTCACATTTTAGAGCAGGGTAAATGCATGCACACAGGCAGCTATATCCCCAGGCAGACAACAATCAGAGTTGCCGTCTCCGAACTTTTATTAACAGCGCTAATGCAATAGAATCATTATAATACAATAGCAAATGATTTCTACCTGTTTGACCCTTCTGTACAAATCTACACATGTTGCACAGTAACCTAAAAATACAAGTTTGAAGCCTCAAGAAAACTCAGTATACCACTCTGGGCAAAGGAAATAGTTTTTCCTAGACAGCTCTTAGCTGCAACAACAGGTATGAAATTGCTGCTCTGCTTCACTATAATCCAGGGCTATCAATGTCCACAGCTGCAAGAGCAGGAGGATATGGATGGTTTTCCACAAGCATAACTGGCACTTGGTATTCTAAAAAAACATTTTAAAAGATCAGCTTTACCGAATCCATCTCAAAGAGCAATTCTGCTAACATCAATTTAGCGTTTTACTTATGAGAGCAGGTTCTGAACAACATGAGTTTAAAAACTACACATAAGTGTCATCTGTCAACTAATCTGGGACTGTCCTAGTGCCAATACAGTACCATTATTAATGTACACTGATTATCCCATGCTGGTTTGGGGTTTTGTCAGTTACCTTATGATAGTGTTACAACTCCTCGACCTCTGTACATACTGAAATCCCCATCAGTTTTCACATGGAACTTAAGAAGAAAAACCCCAAACCACCTGTAAATGTTACCAAAACAGCCTTTTGGTAGAGACTCTAATAATCACAGAGGTCATGCAATAAACACTGCATCCCAGGTAAGGCACAGCACCAATTTATCTACAAACTCCCAAACCGTCAAGACTAACATCAGCAGAATTCAAGAAATTATTTCAACTAAAATCTCAAAATTACAGACTGATTTTTTCTTCTTTTAGGTTTGCTAAAAGGTCAGTGCATAAAAACAGCTCACCTGAGATAAGTCAATGAAATGATTTGCTTCAGCCATCACTTTTACACGGAAGTTTGTACCATCATCAGGGCTCAGGGCATAACAGAACACCTACAGCATGAGGCACCAAAAATTGTCTGTCTGCAACAACTTGCCAACAAATTACTTTGCTCTAGAACATACGGTACTGCAATTTTAAATTACACTAGCAAAGTTACATCTAGTATACAGTTTCATACAGATTGTATTATATGTATTTGTGTGGCATTTACCAGTTGAGAAAGAAGTCAAAGGGGGAGGGGAGGAGGCATTAGGGACTTTGACACATTTGCACCAGGCCCCAGTTTTACCTAGTTCTAGTGCTAGAGTATGGCACTGCATCTTGCATAGACATATATATACAGTGTTCTCATCAGTGCAAGGTAAAGTAATTTTAACAAGTGGATTTGCATAAGCATTAGATTTTTCAAGAACACTTTTTACAAGACACCTTTGAATTTGTAATTAGTGAGAATCATGACGATGACTCAGGTTGAACAGACAAGCTAAGCCTTGGGGAAGCTTTTTAACAGATTCTTTAAAAAGTGACTAGTTCTCTCCAATTAAGAAACAGCAAATGTATCTGAGAAACACAAGGTTCAGAGGTTTTGTAAACAGGCATCTTTCACTAACCTAGCACATACAAACATACAAAAAATTGAACCAACATGCAGAGAATTTATTGTCTTGCGAGACAAAAGCATGGTTTTAGCAAAATAATAGGTAACTTCTATTTACCATTTAAATTAAGCTCTGTAGAGCTTTACAAATCTAGAATAAGAGAGCCCGCCCTCTGTCTTAAACTGATTCAAGGTTAAATGATATATTCTCCCCAAACCCCATGTACTGAGACCACCAATCTGTTTCATTAAAAATCCCACTTCATAGTCACACTTCTGATAATTCAAGCATGCAGCTTTGCCACAAGCATTTCAGACTACAAAGACTTCACAAGGAGAAAGTAAGAAGGTAGGGGGAAAAAGCCACAAAACGCACAAAATCAAGGAAGATCAAAAAATAAAACAAAACACACCACACTTTTGCAAGGAAAGACTTACAATCCTTTACAGAGATAAACAAATTCTCAGGTCATGGAAAACAGGAGCTCAAAACCAAGGCAATTTAAACAGTCATGGGGCAAACAGTGTAACTGCGAATTAGATCTGTTCACAGACTCAATCCCTTAACATGACACCCAAGTCATTATAGACATAACTGTCCTTAGCATTGCTAAATTGTAAAGGCTCCTTCTGGAGTAAGTGTGATATATCATTTCCTTTTGAAAAAGCAGTAGTCAAAGCAAACTGAAGTTCATATTTGCAATTCAGGTATCCCAAATTAAAATACTTGTAAAACAACAGCAGCAGCAGAGAGTGAACAAAAAAAACAAAACAAAAAAAAAAAAAATAGATGCCTATCTGTAAACCAGAAGTAACTGGGCAGTAGCAGCTTGATGCTAAAACACATCTACACAAAGAACAGCTGCAGAAACTTAAAAAAGGTTTTCCAGGGGCCGCAAATCCTACTGTAATTCTAAGGGCAGGTATCCGATTTGCCTACCTTCTAAGTAACACTTCATATTGGTAAAAGAGGATGACTCAGGCTGGAGAACTCTTCAACCCATTGGATAAAAAGCCCACTAACAGGGCAAAAAAAAAAAAAAAAACAAAAAACAAAAAACCCAAAACCAAACCCAAACCCAGAAACAACACCCCCCAAAAAAACCTCAAAAACCAAAAAACCCCCCACAAAAAAAACAAAACCACCCCAAACAACCAAAACCCCAGAAACCTCAACCTACAAATAAAATTTGCCCTTCCCTAATTTACCTGCCTGCACCAAGATAAAGATGCCACTTATAGCCATATTTAAAGCTTTAAGCACGCCATTTATATTTTTACCTCAAATTTGTCTGGATTATGCATGCCTGGGATTGACTGCATTAGGTGCGAGGTTGGATGGTTTCCAAAATCAGAGCTCACATAGCCAATACGAAGTCGACCTTCACTGGCCTTCAAATCCTTGGGATGCTCATATGGTGGCTTGTGAAGAACATTAATCTGTCAAGAAAACATACACAATTGTTCGTTAACTCAGGAACCAAAAGCAAATGCTAAACAGAGGGATAAAAACCTCCAACACGTGAGTCTGCAGAACTAGCCTTCGCCCACACTGAAGTAAGTAGCCTGTGGGCATCTGTTGTTTCAAACCTGCATTGTATGTTATCCACTGGATCCAACTGTCATGTCCATGAACTCTGATACAGTGTGTCATGTACCTACACTCAGCCAAAGACAGATGTAACTACTCCAAGTTGACATTACTGCTTTTCTACCAGTTTAACTTTCAAGTATTCCATTCCTGATTATTAAATATACTGATACCACACCACTATGACCAGGAAGTTCTCAAACTACAAGCCACTTGTGACCAGAACAGTATTTCTGTGAAGCACCACAGCATGCTTTCTGTTCTTATGCTCACCATCTTCCCCGGACATCAGCCTGCATTATCAGGCTATTAAGACAAGCCAGTTTGAAAGCTAAGTATTTGTCCTGGGTTCAGCTCCAGCAGTCATTTTTTTTCTCCTTCTTAGTAGCTGGTGCAGTGCTGTGTTTTTGACTTTCAGCCTGGGAACAACGCTGATAACACCGATGGTTTTAGTTCTTGCTAAGTAATGTTTACTCCGACCAAGGACTTTCTCAGTCTCATGCTCTGCCAGGGAGGAGGGGAAGCCGGGAGGAAGCAGAGGCAGGACACCTGACCCAAACTGGCCAAAGGGGTATTCCGTACCATACCACGTCATGCCCAGTATATAAGCGGGGAGGAGTTACCCGGAAGGCCCAGATCGCTGCTCGGGTCGGGCTGGGTATCGGTCGGCGGGTGGTGAGCGGTTGTGTCCTTTTCCCTTGTTATTCCTCTTATCATTATTAGTGGTAGCAGTAGTGGTTTGTATTATACCTTAGTTAGTGGAGTGCTGTTATCTCAACCCGTGGGAGTTACATTCCTCCGATTCTCCTCCCCATCCCTCCAGGAATGGGGGGAGGAAGGAGGATGGGGGGAGTGAGTGAGCGGCTGCGTGGTTCCAAGTTGCCGGCTGGGCTTAAACCACAACAGTGTTACCTTCTGAAGTTTAAGATTTTTACATTAGCTAAGCAGACCCTTCCACTGGCTGACAGTGTATTTCCAATTACAGTTGGCAACCTGCACAAGTAAACCAACTCAACATTCAGAAGTGCGCACAGCTATGACCTTCTGGTTGAAAAGAACGGCTATGGAACTGCCGGACAGGGGAAGAGCAGAGGATGGCAT